TTTACTTTATTATAATGAGTCTTTTTCCTGGTCCCTTATTTAGGTTTTCTAAATTCCTGCTATGAGTAAGACCATCTGGTATTTTTCTTTTTCTTTCTGGCTTATTTCACTGAGCATGATCCCTCCCAGCTCCAGTCATGTTGCTGCAAATTGCATGAGTTTACCTTTTTTGATTGCTGAGTAATATTCCATTGTGTAGCAACTATAAACCAGAGACACACTATGGGGGTGGGGGGGGGAAGGGAGTAGGATCAAAACAAGGGTGGTGGGAATTGTGTGGAGACTATAACCAAGATGAAAATGCATTTGTGCAAAAATGAAAAATGATGTAAAAAAGATATAAAAATTTTAAAAAGGCCAGCCTAATAGAGAGAGCCCACTACCTTAAAAATTGTTCCAAGTCATTTATTTGGAATTGTGAACAATTTCTGGCAAAAATACTCTGGCCTACTATAAATATAGGAAATAATACTAAATGAGAAAGAAACTGAGTATAATAATTTCCCATTATTTCTATAGCAAATTACCACAAGTGTCATGTATTATAACACAAATTCATATTGCTTCTGAGATGAAATATAATATAGTTATATTCATTGCAATATTTCTGTAGCTCAGAAATCTGACACAAGTTTTGTTGGGCTAAAATCAAGGTGTCAACAGGACTGTGCCTTTCTGGAGGATGCAGCAAAGATACCACTTCCTTGCCTTTTCTAGCTTTTGAAGACACCTACATTTTTTGGCCCATTGACCCATTCCTCTATCTTCAACATTAGCAATGCAGCATTTCAACCCTTCCTGGGTACTCACTTCTCTCTCTGACCACAGTCAAGGAGAGAGTCTCTGCTTTTCAGGACTCCTGTAATTAGATCTCCACCTAGATAATCCTGGATAACGTTCCCATATCAAAGTCCCTAACTTGTTCATATCTACAAAGTCCCTTTTTGCCATGAGGCAACATACTCAAAGGTTGCGAAATTACAATGTGCACATTTTTTTTGGGGGGGGGCTTCATTCTGTCTGCCATAATTAACTAATTTATGGATGATTGCTAGTCAAAATAACTGAGGTAAGTGGAATAAACACAAACTTCCAAATAGCAACCATAAAAGTAACATTTTTGTGCATTTAATATATGCCAACTACTATGATTAGAACTTCGTATCTATTAGCTCATTTAATCCTTATAACAATTCTGTAATCCTAGTAATATTATCCCAATTTCACATATGACATAACTGAAGGTGAGGGAAGTTAAATAATTTAGCAAACAAGTAGTGGAGCCAAGACAGTCTTATTGCAAAGACCACCCCTTTATACTGTGCTAAACTATGGTAGAAATTCAACTCTGGAAGAAACTTAGAAACCATGGAAATTCTACATGGTGCAGACTGTGTCCCAAAAGTAAAAAGGAACATAATTAAAGAAAACAAAGCAAATGCAATATTCCGTAGTCTGAGAAGACTGGGAGTACTGGGAACTCATCCACTGGCAACTCACCCCATCTGCCAGATCCATTTAGAGACTGGACTCCAATCCCTACAAATAAAATTAATGAAGGAAGATAGGAAAATTGAAAATTAGGCAAATGAATGAAGCAAAAACATTAGCATGAGAAGAAAGAGAATTTCACTATTATAAAGGAAATGAAACTGGTTAGGACTAAAGTTTCTACAATACAGCAAAAGTAAACCAGACCACAAGCCTGACATCAGGTCAATGGCAAAAGTGGTGATGCTGATTGTTAGAAAGTAATGTTCAAGTTTGTTTAATCTGCTCCCAGTTTGGGTTTGGTCCTAGAGACTGATGCTGGACTTAGTCTACAGAAATTGAAATCTCTTTAGCAATGAAACACAGGAGTAGGTATTATGAATCCAAGCACAATGGAAGGACACTCATCCCAGACACAGGGAAGTATTGCTTAACAGTTTTCTTCAAGATCAGTATCGCAGTATTACACCTGCTTTCACCAGATTTCTCTTTTTTCTTCAAACTAACACCTTTTAAAAATATCTTGTTTGGGGGGATTTTTTCCCCCTACCATCAGCAACAGAGTTGGAAAAACAAAGAGTATCATTTTTAGGTATGGGTCATTTGTAAGTTGAAAATGTACATTATCTGAAGTCAATTCCAAAGACAAGAAGACTGAATGGCAGATAATGAGTCTACATAAAGAGGAAAGTGGTTTCACTGAGGAGAGAATTCACAGTAACATGGCTGAGCTTGAGGAAGATGAGCTTGTCATAAGCCTCTATTTCAACAACCTGGAAGCGGACAACCTGGATTTGGAGAGACAGTTATACATAAGCATATGGTTATTCTGAATCCTGCTACTATGCAGTTGTCAGATCCACTTAGCTCACATATGACCAATTTTGAGAGAAATGCCTGGAATGATACCAGAAACACAATGTCTGGGTGGTCAGCACATTTTTAAATCCTGTCATTTCACCATATCCTCATTGGTCTTCATAAGCCTTTTGTTTACTTTAGTTCTATGTCTAAATAAAGATTTTAAAACACTTTATATTTTAACAGGCTCTTCAATAGTCACATTTATATTTTCTTTAAGATATGAACTGCCTTAGCTCCTCTCACCAAATGGGATTCAAAACTATAATAGAGGTTTGAGACCATACCTAGATTTACAATGCCTAGATTTACATACCTAGATTTACATACCTAGATTTAATTTGAGACCATACCTAGATTTACAATGATAAAATAAGTGAATTTTATCTCTGAGGTGATACTTTTCAGTTCTCTATATTCCATTCTCCCTATCAGGCAACTAATTCCTCCTATTGCCTCTAGCTCTCAAGTATTCTTCCTATTGACTTTCTCATGACAGCACCAGTTAATACAGACTTTTGCAATTCCATATTCCTTCTGATCCATGTAGAATTCTTTCTCCAAAAGTTCTAATTTAAAAAAAAAACTAGTTATCTTATTATAATGAAATATGTGAGATAAAATGTTAATGACCAATGATGCTTAAGGATTATCCCCTTATCACTGATGTTGTTGCATTTGCTGTGTACATGCGGTATGGATGGCATAGTCATTCACTTAACTAATATATGAATAATTACTATAGACCATAAACTGTACCAGCAGTTTTACATGTCATCTCAATCCAGGGGTCTTCAATGCCTCTTTACCTTTAGCCCCAGGACAACATATGGTGATTCCTTACTTTATAAATACCTCCTCAAGGACATATGGAAGCAACTGCCATATGGGAGAACATATGGAAGCACTGGCCTAGATATTATGATTAAAACTCTTAATATATTTAAACATGGAGACATGCAATATACATTCTAGTAATAAACAAAAATGTTCTATAAATGCTTGATTAGTCACTGGTCAGATAGTGGCACCCCTTCTTTAAGACAATGAAAGACTAATGTTGGATTTTCATGCTTTCTGACAAGGTCATCAGGAAAGATATTTTTGTTTTGTGAGCACTTTACTGACTTTATAACAGGTAGCTAGCTTTTTGCTCCACCATTGATGAAGGTCAGCTGGGTTAAGTATGTACTGAGGTCAAAGCTGTATCACAGCTATGCCCAAATATAGATCATCTTTGTGAAACTGTGGCCTCTTTAACATGCTGCAGTGTGTAACCAACATAAGAAGTTAGACTTTATGAAGAGAAGCGGTCTTTTCTTAGAGAGAGTAGGTCCAGTGAAAAACACTGGCTTTTAAAATAAGGAAGAAAGTAGGAGTGTGCAAATTAAATAAAGATAAGTTGTTAAAGGTTAACTAGTTTCTCCTGATGGTGTTATAAGCAAATGGCATAGTCATTCTCTGGTTCTACAATATTTAGATATTTTATTTCAGTCACAGAGTGGGAGCTGAGAACAAATGTGGGTAAACCAGATACAAAATACCTTCAAAAACATAAGCTAAAACCTATTCCCTAATCCTTCAGAGTTGAATCATATGTTATGTCTGGACGATAAAAGTGAAGAATGCCAAATTAGTTCTGTAATTCCCATGGTTTGGTACACATATACACAAGGAAAAACATTGGCATCCTAAAAATGTGTCATCATCATTAGTACTGTAACAGCTTTTTATTGCTGCAAAATAAATTACTAGAAGCTGGAATCACCTATTTATTATATTCAGGTTTCTGTTGATCAGAAGAAACTAGGTTCTCTTCTCAGGGTCTCACACAACTGAAATCAATCTTTTATCCATGCTGTTTTCTCACATGGAGCTTAAGGTCCTCTTCCAAGTATATTTAGGCTGTTGGAAGAATATAGTTCCTTCCAGTTGTAGAACTGAAGTCCCTGTTTTTGTATCGGCCACTGTTAGTTCTTTGCTCTTAGAGGTCATTCTCAGGACCAAGGTAGTGTACTTTTTCAAAGCCAGTATTGGAAATCAGAATCTCTCTCCAGATTGCTACTATGTGAAGGAATTCTTATTTAATGTATTCATATGAGTGACTGTACCATCATCTTTACCCCAAAACATAGTCTACGCAAGGAACTGACTACCTCATTGTAGTCACAAATCCCATTCACACTTATGAGGAGACTGTACGGCACACGTGGGAGCAGAATCTTGGAGGTCATCTTGGGATTATGCTTACAACAACTGTTACTCAGATAATTCTTTATGCAGCTTAGAAAATTAATATATTAAATAAATTTAAACTAAAATATATAGGTAAACTAGCAAATTAGTTTTAGACACTTTCTGTAGGAACAGCTTCCATAACTAAATCCCAACTGGTCACACTGAGTAGCTACAATATTTTCAGGCTTTCAAAATGTATTGAAAACTAAAATATACCTAAAATAAACATAATTTTTGTGGTGCTCCAGATTATTGTAGATGACAAGTCAAAGCAGAAACTCCTTAAGTGATGAGAGAATGCCAAACAGTGAGATTTAAACCACATAACAAGATTAAAAGAAAATATAATAACTAATGATGGTAGATACTATGTGCACTCAGATATACGCACAGAAGCAAAGGGAACTTACTCTGAAAGTTGTTCACTGAGAAGACTCGAGGATGATAGAATCCTGCTTTGCAAATGCACTGATAGGCTCCAAGCACAAATCCCAGTCCTTTAATTGGCATACACTACGAAAAAGAAAAGACAGCATTATAGTAGATCATAGTTCACTTCACAATACATAGATCCAAAGATATCTATCACTGTAAATGGTGACAGAATGAACACAGTTTTTCAGAAAATAACATATTCCTCTTTTTTCAATTTTTATTTTAGGTTTAGCATTTTTGAGAAGTAGTAAATTAAGTTTCCCTTCTAAATATATGTTATTACAGCTATAGTTGTCAGACTTCTTTAACTCATTCAATTATCACAGGGAATAGTTACTAGACAATAGTTTTTTCTTGCAATGCCTCACATATCATCTTAATGCTTTAAGAGATATTTCCAAAGCCTATAAGAAGATTTTAAAGGTGAGTGTATACTAAGTATTTCTATCAAAGCAAATATAGGAGGCCCATGTATGAATCAAGCTTTTGTGAATCAAATTCATTGCAGGAACAAAATAACATAAATTGATGGAATAACAAAACAAAATTTAAAATGCAAATTGCAAAAGAACAAAATAAATTAATGATCTCAAGACTTTATTTAATATCTATTTCATAAATGTTTTACATGTACATAAAAAGCAATGATTAATTTCCAAAATATGTCATACCAACAGATGTCATAGACAACTCCCAAAAACTGAATCTTAAGGATATCAACCCCAGCAGAATTCAGTTTAATAAACTTCATGTCTGCTATATCCAATTACATAAGCACATAATAACTTCTATTAAAATACAAACAGTACATCAATGAACAGTGTTTTGAGTTTTTTATGCTTAGTTTTATTTTCTCTATTTCTTTTATTTTGAGTTACCAGTTGTCATATTTTAATTGCAAAGATGGACTTACTTCTAGAAATGTCTTAACCTTCTAAATTATGGTTTTAATTGCCTGTATACCTGGAAACTAGACTACTGAGTTTGACGAGCTAGAGCACATGAGATAATAGACAGCAAACTATTAGCATGTAAGGTAATAAATAGTTAATAATTACTGTTTATTACATGTCAGACACTGTTCTAAGGGCTGTATAAGTATTAACACACTTTATCCTATATCAATTCTATCATCATCTCTTATCTTAAAGATGAAAAAAAAAAAGAGGCACAGATTGCTAACTTAATTTATCCAAAGCTACACAATTAATAACTAACTGGCAGAGCCAGGCTTCCATCTCAGGGTTCTGATTCCATACAGTAATGACTATTCTCCCCAAAGCATGGATACACAGTATTATTTTATGAACAGAAACAGATGCTACTGCCTGGTCACTTTGAACTCTATACTTATTGTTTCAAGACCTTTATTTTTACATTTTACATTTTTCTCAGCTTTGGGCAACAGTCCAACTAGATCAGCTTGCTGGATTATTAAGCTTCAAAAAAGTGAAGGTCATTAATTTTAAAATACGTAAAAAATGTATTTTTAAGATAGGGAGTTAATTCCTGTATCATTTACATATTAAAAAAAAATAGTCTCCCTTCCCAACTCAGAGTAACTTAATCCAGATTTTAAAAAACAAATCTTCATTTTTGGGTATGCAAATGGCGTGTATCTTTTCTATTTGAAGTCCTCAAAACAGAACATTCTCTAGGTCTAGGAGAAGCATGAGACCAGTTCACAGAACCTAAATCCCAAACTAAATTTAGCAAGCACAACAAAGGAAAGCAGGCAGTCTGGGTTGTCGCTTCTTTCTCTTTGGAGGAAAAGCATGGCTCTGCTCTGGTTGACAGAAGACTTCTATCACTCCAGAAAGGACTCCAGCTTTAATGAATTTACTGAACCTTGTTCAAAAAGCAGATGGCAACACTGCAGAGGCATACAAACTGAAAGGTTTGACACTAGTGAGATGAAGTAGAAATTAGGTCTTCCAGCTTATTGCAAAGAGATAGCAGCTTTTACTTTTCTTTTACTCTCTTCTAGTCACATTGTGAAGAAATACTGTAAAATGTTGAATCTGTTAACTTGGGAGTGGTTCGGGAGGACCTGGCACTAAAACAAGTTAATTATACTAATATCTAATATCTAGTGGCTCTTCTCCACAACTATTTGCAAGTTTATTAAAACAAAAAGAAAATGCTTAAACAGAGAAAAATCTAAAAGGCCTCCAGGCAATGATAGGGTACACATCACTCACATATTTCATCAAACAATCTTCAAGGAAACAAGAATTCATGAATAACAAATAATGCAGTGTTTCACCAGGGAGGAAAAGAACTACATTTTGTCTTTATTATTTTATTCATTAGCTGCTACAACCTGGTTTTAAAAGCATGATGGACCGGACAGGATGGCACAGTGGGGAGTGAGGGAATGTTTTCTTTTATGATATAGTTGCAGTTAAAAAAGAATTTTTCCATTATTAACTTTTGAAATGTTCTTGCTACATTCAGTAGAGTCAGATTTCACAAAAGAGGGTGAAATGATACAAATACCACATGTGGCATAGACATATGACAAGTCTACAAAGGCAAGATACTTTTTGGTGGGGGGAGGAGAGGACAGAAAATGATGTGGGGAAATGGATTATATTTCAGGATTGTATTTCAGGATTATTTCAGGATTATATTTCATTGAGTAGACCATCCTACATAAATTTACCCAAAGACCTGACAAATTAAATTTTTAATATATTCAAAACTTTTAAAAAAATGAAACACTTCCCTCCATCAAGCCACAAACTCACTGTGATGAGCCTATGTTCTGTGTTTGGTACCCTGTGCATCTTATGGTGATAGTTCATAAGTTCTGAGCATTTCCTTCATTCTTGACCTAATTTAGCCCTTGCTTAGGAGTCCCATTGTACATTATTGGCTACAGCAATGAGAGGAACAAAGTCATGATCTAGACCTCAGGGAGTTTATAGCCCACAAACACAAAAGTGAAGTCAGAGTTGCAGATGGTGCTGTACCCTGTTTAACAACTAAAAGGCCTCATGCATGTTTGGCTCTATTTGGACACAGGGTCTTTAAGAAGTAATTAAGGTTAAATAAGGGTGAGACCTTCATCCTTATAAAGATTAGTGTCCTTATAAGAAGAGATATAAGAGAGCTTGACCTCCTGCTTTCCATGTGCACATTTAGAGCAGAGACCGTGTGAGGACATAGAAGGCAGCTGTCTAATGACCAGGAAGGGAATTCTCAATAGAAAATAAATCTGGCACCTTGAGTTTGAAGTTCTGGCTTACAGAACCAAGAGAAATAATTTTTGTTTTTGTAACCCTAGCAAACTAACACTTGTTTCAGTGCTGAGAGCAAAAATTATCTACAACTGTAAATGCAGCTTTGGCACTGACTAACGAATAGAAGATGGAACAATTTTGAGGTACATACAAGAAAAGGCCTAGATTGTCATAAAGAGATTGGTCAAGGTCTACCCTGTGGACCCAGTAGGCAGAGCATCCAACCAAAGAGACTTGTTTTCGAGCCTTAAGATCTAATACAACTTTCCTTTCTAAGCTTTCGACTTGCTGGAGGCTTATCACCTCTTTCTTCCTTCCAATTTCTCCCTTTTGAAATAAGAATAAGTATCTATCCTATACTTGTGTCACTACTCTAGAAAGTTTTCAGAAAGGAAGACAGAGGAATATTTGATTGACCTGAAATACAAATAAATAAGAAAAAAGATATAAAACAGATGTTAGATTTAATTAACTATAGCAATAATTATATGTGTATGTATACACACACTTGAAAAAGATACTTCAAAGAAAACATCAAGATTGCCAAAATGGATTAAGCAAACTAAAAAAACTGCTAACAAGAGATATATTTTGAATGAAAAGGCATAGAAATATTCTAGATAAAAGAACAGGAAACATAGGACTTTATGTGGGGATCTACCAGAAGCAAATTCTAGAACAAGGATTTGAATACAAATTGTTTATTGAGGAGGTAATTCCAGGTAACTGGAGAAAAGGAGTAAGGAAATAGGAAAAGGAAGACAATAAATGATCTTTCAACTGAGAGAGTTGCTTTTCTGTAACTGGGACTTTACCTTAGAATTAGTCACCTTAGAATAAGAGCTAAAGCTTTAACTGGCAATGTAAGGGTTAATGACGATGTGAAATAAGTAAAATACTCATATGAGGGGAGGTATAAATTGATACAATCTCTTTAGAAATGAATTTGGCATTACTTATTAAATCTGAAAATAACATATTCTATTAACCAGCTATTTCAATCCTGGATTTATAACCAACTGAAAGATATCTAAACATGCCCGCAAAAGACATGCAAAAATGCTCCACTGTTTGTAGGGGGTTGGGGAGGAGGAGAAGAGGGATTAGGGTCAGAAAAAGGGGGTGGTAATTGTATGGGGAATATAACCAAAATGAAAATGCATATAAAAATGAATGCAAAAATGAAAATGATATGAGAATTATATAAAATAAAATAATTCATTTAAAAAATGTTCCGCTGTTTGCAACAAGCCCAAACTATTAAAAAGGCAAATGTTCATCTAAAGTAGAGAAATTATGCTCTATACAACAAAGTAATATATAGCAATGAGAGTAAACAAAGCACAGCTATATACAATAACATGGATTAATCTCTCAATCTCACAAACCACGTTGAACAAAATAAGTCACAATTACCTTATCATTCTATTTGAATAATTCTTGAAAACAGTCCAATGTGATATGTAGTATTAGAAATGACAGTGTATGAATTTGGGAAAAACAGTGAGGAGATGACTAGATAGAGCTTCAAGAAGGCTTTGTAAAATGCTGGTAATGTTTTTTCTCTTGAGCTGAGTGGTAATTAGGTGTGCTTTCTTAGGAACAAGTCATTATACTATATATTTACGGTTTTATACATTTATGCAATATTTTTCTTTTAATAAAAACATAAAAATTCCAAACTCCTGCTTCCTTCATCCCAAATATTTTAGTTATCTTCTCTTTCACCAATCACCAAAATACTATTTGATTTGTGTTTCTAATTTATCTGAAACAATCAGAACATTTTGTTCATTCCATTTTTGCTGACAGAGAAAGGAATCTACATACACT